ATACATAAGTTTCAAATATCGATATTTCAGTTTTTTCAAGTAGAACACCTGTGTTTCATTACTGCATCTTATTTTGTTTTTTGTTTTCGCGCCGACCTATTGAAAAAAAGAATAAAACATCTAGGAAGATCCAGTAATAAAATACAGGGTGTTCTATATGAAAAAATGAAATATCGATACTTGATAACTTTGGAGTTTAAAATTTTCTTATAAACGCTCTGTATATTGAAATTTTACTTAATTGATACCATCATAAAGCGTGTACCTCTGTTTATTTCCCCATAAAATATTCCGACACAGATTTTGAAAATAATGTTATTATGATTTTTTTGTGAACTTTTGCACTGCTAAAAAAATAAAAAAAATTGGCATAACGTGGCAACATCCTAAGGAAATTTGCATCATAAACTATGGTTATAAATTTATGAAGAGATTAAGAAGAACATATAAAAATATATAGGGTGACCTATTTAAAAATCATGTTACGTGCCATCCATCTAAAACAAAACACGCTGTATAGTCGAAATTAATTTCACTGTATACTAGTACAACTTAGTCTCTAACTTTTTCTACTATTTATCTTAATGAGATATCGAGGACCGCTCTATTAGTGACTCACCCTGTATATGTAAATTCATTATTAAAAAGGGAGATAAATGAAATAACCCATACAAAATTTTTTCATTGACTGTTTTCAAAATATTTTCATAGTTATATTTATTCATACGCATTTTCAACTCCGCCATATTTAAAAATGGAGATTTTGAAGAAAATGAAGACAGTTTTAATTCATTTACACAGGGTAATTTCTGTAAGTAAACTTTCTTTTAATACTAGCTGTATTGAGGTTTATTTTAATAGGTTTTTTGGGATTATTGTCAATCAAACCGAACATAAGAGAAAAATCCTTCTTGAAAAACATGAAAAAATTGACATTCGATAAATTTGATCATCCCGTAGAAATAACTTTTAATTTTGTGCGATATTTCGCACGGATGTTAAGATAAGGTAACTAAAACGTCTCGTACAAAATTATAAAGCTCCATCTTTAAAAATGGCGGAGTTGTGAATTTTTAAATATGTCTATAAATAAAATTAAATAAAATAACTTATTGCATTTCCCTTAAATTATAGAAACACAATTTTTAGTCAATCTGATCAAACTCATTTAGGGCTACAATGTAAAGTTATTTTAAAATGTACAGGGTGTTTCATTTCAAAGTTACACATTACAGTTACATATTTATAAACGTAATACCCTATATATTTATATACAGGTGCATCATTAAGTGCGCACTAAGCCGAAGTTGTACGCTTCTTTAAGGACTATAGTCTAAAATTATTTTTAGCTATATAGATTGTTCTGTTTTTAAGATATAACACATAACTTAGTTTTTTTTTTTAATGAAACACCCTATATATTTTCACATATTTCGATTGACCTCTTCTTAGGGTTTACAACCGCAATTTACTTTTGAAATTCTCATGCGACGTTGCCACGTTATTCCAATTTTCTTGAAATTAGTGATATTTCAGTTTTCTCAAATAGAACAACCTGTATTTTATTACTGTATTTTCTTCTAGTTTTTGTCCTTATTCTTCTAATAAGTCGATGTGTTTCTTAAAAAAGTAAAATTGCAGTAATAAAATATAGGGTGTGGTATTTCAAAAAACTGAAATTCCGATATATTAAGATTTTCTTATAAACACTCTGTATATTGAAATTGTATTTAAGTGATAAGGAAAGCGCGTTTCTCTGTTTATCTCTCCATAAAATATTCCGACACAGATTTTGAAAATATGTAATGTTATTAAGATTTTTTTGTGAACCCTTGTACTGCTAAAAAAATAAAAAAAAATTGGAAAACGTGGCAACATCGGAAGGGAATTTCAATCATAAACTACGGTAATAAGTTTATGAAAACATTAATAAGAACATATAAAAATATATAGGGTGTTCTATTTAAAAAAAAAAAAACCAATATAGTATAGTCGAAAAATAATTTCACTGTCTGCTAGTCAAAGTACCGTACAAACTTTGTCTACAACTTTTTCTTCTGTCTCTAAATAATTAATGAAATACCGACGATCGCGCTATTAGTGACTCACCCTGTATATGTAGATTCATTATTAAACAGGGAGATAAATGACATAACCCACAAAAGATTGTTTCCTTGACAGTTTTCAAAATACTTAATCATACCCATTGGCAACTCCGCCATATTTAAAAATGGAGGCTTGGACAAAATTGAAGACAGTTTTAATTAATTTAAACAGGGTGATTACATTTACAAATTATTAGTTTTCATGGATTATTAAATGGGATAACCTGTATAAAATTCCCGAGCCTTTCTATAAGTGAACAAAAGGTTTTTTGGGATTATTGTCAAATCAAACCGGACATGAAAAAATTGACAATTATTGATAAATTTGATCATCCTATAAAAATAACTTTTAGCTTTGTTCGATATTTTCCACGGATACTAAGACAAGGTAACTAAATAGTCACCTACAAAATTATAGACCTCCATTTTTAAAAATGGCGGAGTTGTGAATTTTTAAGTATGTATGTCCATAAAAAATATTAAGTAAAATAACTTCAAAGCGGTTGTTGCATTCCCCTTAAATTATAGAAAGAAACAATTTTATTCAGTCTGATCGAACTCATTTAGGGCTACAATTTAGAATTATTTTAAGGTGTACAGGGTGTTTGGTTCCAAAGTTACAGATCATGGACCATTTTTATAAACGAAACACTCTATATATTTGTACATATTTTGATTAATCTCTTCTTATGGTTTACAACCGCAGTTTACTTTTGAAATTCCAATGCCACGTTGCCACGTTATTTCAAGTTTCTTGAAATTCGAGATATTTCAGTTTTTTCCAATAGAACAACTTGTAATTTGTTATACTGTATCTTCATCTAGTTTTTGTTCTCATTCTTATAATATGTCGATGTGTCTCCTAAAAAAGTAAAATTGCAGTACTAAAATATAGGGTGCTTTTTTGAAAAAACTGAAATTCCGATACATACATGAAAATTTTAAAATTTAAAATCTCCTTATAAACACTCTATATATTGGAATTGTATATTTAATTGATAACATAACAAAGTGCGTACTTCGGTTTATCTCTCCATAAAATATTTCGACACAGATTTTGAAAATAACGTCATTCCGATTTTTTTTGTGAACCCTTGCATTGCTAAAAAATTCAAAAAATTTGGAAAACGTGATAACATCCTAAGGGAATTTCAATCACAAACTATGGTTGTAAGTTTATGAAGATTAATAAGAACATATAAAAAATATAGCGTGTTCTATAAAAAAAATAAAACACTCTGTATAATCGAAAATAATTTCAGTGTATGCTAGTCCAAGTATCATCGAACTTACTCTTTTACTTTTTCTACTATCTTTAATAATTAATGAGATATCGAGGACTAGCTGTTAGTGACTCACCCTGTATATGTAAATTCATTACTAAAAAAAATTGATACATTTAATCATCCTATAAAAATAACTTTAGATTTGTTCGATATTCCCCACGGTAACTAAAAAGTCTCGTACAAAATTATAAACATCCATCTTTAAAAATGGCGGAGTTGCGAATTTTTAAATATGTATGTGCATATAAAAAATAAATAAAATAACTTGAAAGCTTTTGTTGCATTATCCTTGAATTCTGTTTTTAAGGTATAACACATAATTTTTTTTAATGAAACACCCTATATATTTTCACAGACTTTGATTGACTTCTTCTTAGGGTTTACAATTGCAGTTTACTTTTGAAATTCTGATGAGACGTTGCCGCGTTAATCCAATTTTCTCCAAATTCTTAATATTTCTGTTTTTTCAAATGGAACAACTTGTGACAACTTTTTTAGTCCATTGAAAAATCGCATTAATAAAATATATGAAAAACTGAAATATCGATATTTGAAAATTGTAATAATTTTATAAACACTCTGTATTTGAAAATTTAATCTCATTTATACTGCAACAAAGCCACTAAATGTGGTAACACAGATTAAAAAAATTACTCTACTGTATTTTTTTCAATAAATAATAATAATTAATGAGATATCGAGAAAAGAGCGCTTAGTGACTCACCCTGTACATTTAGATTTTTTATTAAAGAAGAAAAAAACGATATCAGCTTCAAAATATTTGCATTTTTTTCTAAATGGTCACACTTAATATGTATTTTTCACTCCGCCATTTTTAAAAATGGGGGTCCGGAATTTTAGACAAAACTTTCTAGTTACCTTACCTTGACAAAACTATAAAAAATGAACATAGTTTTTTAGGTTATTTACACAGGGTGAATTTGCAAATATTCAGTTTACACACATTTTTCAAATAGGACACCTGTATTTTCTAACATTTTCGAACTTATGTGTCTGTAAAGGTAAACTTTCTTTTTAATACTTGAGAAAAGCAATAGTTTATAAATTTAATCACCCTGTAGAAATAACTTAACTTAATGCAAGGTAACGAAAAGTTTCACGCCAAAATCGAGACCTCCATTTTGAAAAATGGCGGAGTTGTGAATTTTTAAATACGACTATTATTATTTATGAAATTATGGCGAGTTTATAATGAGAAAAATTATATCAACATTTTTTTTTATTAATTAATGAAACGATTAATGAAAGTGGTTCTCAAAAGGACGAAATCGTGTTCGGTCTGTGTCCATTCAGACTGAAATCGATAAAAACAGCCTTTTCAAGCATAAAATCTCCCTCGCTGAAATCAGCTCCTGGTTACGCCCCCACGTTAACGTTATCATTAGGGCTCCGAGGTCTCTAAATTATTGGCAACCGCCTTAACTATCGCAACAAAACCTCGTACCGTTTTTCCTCACCAACTCCTAGAGCTATCTTTAAACTTGCAAATTGCCCGCTGAAACCGCTCCTGCTCGAGTTCGCAGGAGGCCAGGAGCACTCGAAGAGCTTTTTTCCCCGGCGCTGATTATTTAGTGATGATGACCACTCCGCGGTTTCTCAACGTTCTTGTAGTAAAGTAGATGTTAAGTACACCCACATCACATACTCAAGTCCCCATTACATGTGCGCATCAACATGTGTGATTAAGTGAATGAACATCGGCAACAGTATCAGAAAAGCTCTAAAGGCAATAGTTCCAGCTGCTGTAGCACAGTCGCATCTTGGCGCTGTTAGTGGTAACATCAGTGTTATCCCTGTCAGTGCTGTCTTTGAACTTTTATCACGTTTTGACTCACTCCCACGCGAACGACTTCTTCGGTCCAATTTGTGAGGAGATGAAGTGTTAAGTGCTCGATCGCATACCCTGCAAAAGACGGATTAATGATCATTTGTAAGTTAACGACTGCTAGCGTTGCTTTATTGTATTTTTCGAGGCGGATTTTTTCAATGAAGATACTACGCGCTATCAGTTTCCGCATTTGTGCAGATCTTTTTATCCACGGCTTCCGTTTCCATGTAAAAAATAGGCACGTCGTCTGTTTTTCGTTAAATTCATTAACACTTCGTCCGCAGACTTGCGGACAAATCATTCCTGTCACACTTTAAATTAGTTTCAGAATGAAGCTGAAAGTTGTACGACCGCAACCAAAAATAACTTTCAATTTCGTCTTGTACCTAAATAATTCAAACGACAAAACGCCAGCGGATTTCTTTTATAAATAGTTTTCGAAGTTTATTGCATTGCTGGAAATTCTTCCTCAATCTGGACTGGTATGTTGACAATCGACACACATACATAACAAAATTATTAACACTGACAACATAATGGCTTGTTAAGTGGACATTGTCAAAACTCAAATAACTTAATTGATTCTGGTGGGACCATAAAAAACTTTCACTACTTCACTAAGTGTGCAACGAATTATTGATGTGCTGCAATTTGCATCAGGGAGAAGAACAGATCAATTACAAATAATTGACCCGTGACTCGTGCATTGTTCATAACGCATTAAATTAACCCCAATATTTATCCAATTAGAACACTTGGTGTGTTCCGAGGGGTTCACAGAAACTCACTTTTCGAACCAAATTCCGAATTCCGGATCTGGACTTATTTGGAGGTGCGAACACAGCAGTCCGAAGTCGGTAATTAAGATTTAAAAGCGTCAAATTTTCATTGATTATGGTGCTTGAATTTTCGGGTTTTGTAACTCCAAATTATAGTGTACACACTGGCTCGAATTTCGGTGTCAGAAAAGTGATATCGTTATAACCAAAGCCATTAACTCGAACGGAAACCGTCTCATATTGTGTAGCTATTGTGCGAAATATTTTTTGACGATTCAGTAATGTTTTATTTATTATCCCACAGCATGTTTTCAGTTTTTGAAAAATTTACAAATAAAAGAAATGTCACGAATTTACAAAAAAGAAAATTGGCATCTAGTAAGCCATGAAACTGATTTTTAAAATAACCGCAATTGTCAAACTGAATAAAGAACGCGTTGTTACCAACATATTTTTTGCTGTAATGTTTTTAGTAATGTTTTATTTATTATATCACTTAATGTTTTCAGTTTTTTGAAAAATTTACGAATGAGGAAATTTTCACAAATTTGCAAAGGTTATTTCTTTCTTTAATGAAAATGTGGCCATATCATCGAAAAAAGTCATCTAGTAAGCTAGGATTTTGAAAAATTTCGAATTAATCAAAAAGAAAGAAATAATGAAGAAATTTTCACGAATTTAACAAAGTTAAGTTATTTACGTTTAATGAAAATATGGCCATATAATCGAAAAAAGTCACCTAGTTGTTTTTAAAATAGTCATGTTGGCAGTGCAGTTATCTTTCTGACTTTTACTAGATTTTGAAATAATAAACTCTAAATTTATTTTTCCATAATGCAAAACCAGGATAAATGTGTAAAATTTTCTAAACTGTCAGTTTTCAAAATAGCTTTGAAATTACTTAAAAAAATTCTAAAATAAATTCCAACTGAGCAAAAAATTCGTCAATTTTTGGTCTGAACGACTTGAATTCACCCTGGACCTTGATCTTATCTCGTCGGTACTAACAGTAAAATTAATACAGACTCTAAAATTGAAAACTGATATGAAACAATGGTTTCAAATTTAGTCAAAAATTTTTCGACAGCTAAAAATGTCTATTTGCAGATTATTACGGAATCTGGTTATGCTACTTCTATTTTAAATGAAAATACGGTCATATTATCGAAAAAAGTCGCCTAGTAAACCATGAAACTTATTTTTAAGACAGTCATGTTGGCTATACAGTCATTTCCTACTTTATTTGACAGTTATTTGACGTATATGTCAAATTAAACAAAGGACGCGATTATTTAGTTTGGTTATTTTCTGACTTTTACTAAATTTTGAAATAATAAACTCTAAATTTATTTTTCCATAATGCAAAACCAGGATAAATGTGTAAAATTGTCTAAACTGTCAATTTTAAAAATAACTTTGAAATTACTTAAAAACTTCTAAAATAAATTCCAACTGTGCAAAAATTCGTCAATTTTTGGTTTGAAGGACTTGAATTCACCCTGGACCTTGATCTTATCTCATCGGTACTAACAGTAAAATTAATACAGGCTCTAAAATTGAAAACTGATATGAAACAATGCTTTCAAATTTAGTCAAAAATTTTTCGACAACTAAAAATGTCTATTTGTAGATTATTACGAAATCTGGTTATGCTACTTCTACTTTAAATGAAAATATAGCCATATTATCGAAAAAAGTCACCTAGTAAACCATTAAACTTATTTTTAAAATAGTCATGTTGGCAATGCAGTCATTTCCTACTTTATTTGACAGTTATTTGACGTAAATGTCAAATTAAGCAAAGGACGCAATTATTTAGTTTAGTTACTTTCTGACTTTTACTAGATTTTGAAATAATATACTCTAAATTTATTTTTACATAATGCAAAAACAGGATAAACGAGTAAAATTTTCCAAACTGTCAATTTTCAAAATAGCTTTGAAATTACTTAAAAAACTTCTAAAATAAATTCCAGCTGAGAAAAAATTCGTCAATTTTTGGTCTGAATGGCTTGAATTCACCCTGGACCTTGGTCTTATCTCGTCGGCACTAACAGTAAAATTAATACAGACTCTAAAATTGAAAACTGATATGAAACAATGCTTTCAAATTTAGTCAAAAATTTTTCGACAACTAGAAATGTCTATTTGCAGATTATTACGAAATCTGGTTTTGTTGCTTCTATTTTAAATGAAAATATGGCCATTATCGAAAAAAGTCACCTAGTAAACTATGAAACTTAGTTTTAAAATAGTCACGTTGGCAATGCAGACATTTGCTTCTTTATTTGACAGTTATTTGACGTAATTGTCGAATTAAACAAAGGACGCAATTATTTAGTTTAGTTACTTTCTGACTATTGCTAGATTTTGAAATAATAAACTCTAAATTTATTTTTACATAATGCAAAACCAGGATAAATGTGTAAAATTTTCTAAACTGTCAGTTTTCAAAATAGCTTTGAAATTACTTAAAAAAATTCTAAAATAAATTCCAACTGAGCAAAAAATTCGTCAATTTTTGGTCTGAACGACTTGAATTCACCCTGGACCTTGATCTTATCTCGTCGGTACTAACAGTAAAATTAATACAGACTCTAAAATTGAAAACTGATATGAAACAATGGTTTCAAATTTAGTCAAAAATTTTTCGACAGCTAAAAATATCTATTTGTAGATTATTACGGAATCTGGTTATGCTACTTCTATTTTAAATGAAAATACGGCCATATTATCGAAAAAAGTCACCTAGTAAACCACGAAACTTATTTTTAAGACAGTCATGTTGGCTATACAGTCATTTCCTACTTTATTTGACAGTTATTTGACGTATATGTCAAATTAAACAAAGGACGCGATTATTTAGTTTGGTTACTTTCTGACTTTTACTAAATTTTGAAATAATAAACTCTAAATTTATTTTTCCATAATGCAAAACCAGGATAAATGTGTAAAATTTTCCAAACTGTCAATTTTCAAAAAGCATTGAAATTACTCAAAAAACTTCTAAAATAAATTCCAGCTGAGCAAAAAATTCGTCAATTTTTGGTCTGAATGGCTTGAATTCACCCTGGACCTTGGTCTCATCTCGTCGGCACTAACAGTAAAATTAGTACAGGCTCTAAAATTGAAAACTGATATGAAACAACGGTTTCAAATTTAGTCAAAAATTTTTCGACAGCTAAAAATGTCTATTTATAGATTATTACGAAATCTGGTTATGTCACTTCTATTTTAAATGAAAATATGGCCATATTAACGAAAAAAGTCACCCAGTAGACCATGAAACTCATTTTTAAAATAGTCAAGTTGGTAATGCAGTCATTTGTTCCTTTATTTGACAGTTATTTGACGTAAATGTCAAATTAAACAAAGGAGTATAGTTACTTTCTGACTTTTACTAGATTTTGAAATAATAAACTCTAAATTTATTTTTCCGTTATGGAAAACCAGGATAAATGTGTAAAATTTTCTAAACTGTCAGTTTTCAAAATAGCTTTGAAATTACTTAAAAAAATTCTAAAATAAATTCCAGCTGAGCAAAAAATTCGTCAATTTTTGGTCTGAACGACTTGTATTCACCCTGGACCTTGATCTTATCTCGTCGGTACTAACAGTAAAATTAATACAGAGTCTAAAATTGGAAACTAATATGAAACAACGATTTCAAATTTAGTCAAAAATTTTTTGACAGCTAAAAATGTCTATTTGTAGACTATTACGAAATCTGGTTATGCTACTTCTACTTTAAATAGAAATATGGCTATATTATCGAAAAAAGTCACCTAGTAAACCATGAAACTTATTTTTAAAATAGTCAAGTTGGCAGTGCAGTTATTTGCTACTTTATTTGATAGTTATTTGACGTCAATGACAAATTAAACAAAGGACACAATCATTTAGGTTAGTTGCAGTCTAACTTTTACTAGATTTTGAAATAATAAAGTCTGAATTTATTTTTTCATAATGCAAAATCAGGAGAAATGTGTAAAATTTTCTAAAATGTCAATTTTCAAAACAGCCTTGAAATTACTAAAAAAACTTTTAAAATAAATTTTAGTTGAGTAAAAAATTCGTCGATTTTTGTTCTGAACGACTTGAATTTTCTATCTTTAATGAAAATATGTCCATATGATCGAAAAAAGTCGCCTAGTAAACCATGAATCTTAATTTTAAAATATTCATGTTGGAAATGCAGTTTTTTGCTACTTAATTTGACAGTTATTTGACGTAAATGTCAAATTAAACAAAGGACGCAATCATTTAGGTTAGTCGCAGTCTAACTTTTTCCAGATTTTGAAATAATTAATTCTAAATTTATTTTTCCATAGTGCAAAATCAGGAGAAATGTGTAAAATTTTCTAAAATGTCAATTTTCAAAACAGCTTTGAAATTACTGAAAAAACTTTTAAAATAAATTTCAGCTGAGCAAAAAATTCGTCGATTTTTGGTGAACGACTTGAATTTTCTATCTTTAATGAAAATATGTCCATATGATCGAAAAAAGTCACCTAGTAAACTATGAAACTAATTTTTAAAATAGTCATGTTGGCATTTCAGTCATTTGCTACTTTATTTGATAGTTATGTGACGTAAATGTCAAATTAAACAGAGGACGCAATCATTTAGGTTAGTTGCAGTCTAACTTTTATTATATTTTTAAATAATAAAGTCTAAATTTATTTTTCCATAATGCAAAATCAGGAGAAATGTGTAAAATTTTCTAAAATGTCAATTTTCAAAACAGCTTTGAAATTACTGAAAAATGTTTTTTAAAAAAAATTCAGCTGAGCAAAAAATTCGTCGATTTTTGGTCTGAAAGACTTGAATTTTCTATCTTTAATGAAAATATGTCCATATGATCGAAAAAAGTCACCTAGTAAACTATGAAACTTATTTTTAAAATAGTCATGTTGGCAATGCAGTTATCTGCTACTTAATTTGACAGTTATTTAACGTAAATGTCAAATTAAACAAAGGACATAATCATTTAGGTTAGTTGCAGTCTAACTTTTACTAGATTTTGAAATAATAAAGTCTAAATTTATTCTTCAATAATGCAAAATCAATAGAAATGTGTAAACTTTTCTAAAATGTCAATTTTCAAAACACCTTTGAAATTACTGAAAACATTTTTAAAATAATTTTCAGATGAGCAAAAAATCGTCGATTTTTGGTCTGAACGACTTGAATTTTCTATCTTTAATGAAAATACGTCCATATGATCGAAAAAAGTCACCTAGTAAACCGTGAAACTTATTTTTAAAATAGTCATGTTGGCAATGCAGTTATTTGCTACTTTATTTGACAGTTATTTGACGGAAATGTCAAATTAAACAAAGGACGGAATCATTTTGGTTAGTTGCAGTCTAACTTTTTTCAGATTTTGAAATAATTAAGTCTAAATTTATTTTTCCATAATGCAAAATCAGAAGAAACGTGTAAAATCTTCTAGAATGTCAATTTTCACAACAGCTTTGAAATTACTGAAAAATTTTTTTAAAATAAATTTCAGTTGAGCAAAAAATTCGTCGATTTTTGGTCTGCAAGACTTGAATTTTCTACCTTTAATGAAAATATGTCCATATATTCGAAAAAAGTCACCTAGTAAACCGTGAAATTTATTTTTAAAATAGTCATGTTGGCAATGCAGTTATCTGCTACTTAATTTGATAGTTGTTTGACGTAAATGTCAAATTAAACAAAGGACTCAATCATTTAGGTTAGTTGCAGTCTAACTTTTACTAGATTTTGAAATAATAAAATCTAAATTTATTTTTCCATAATATAAAATCAGGAGAAATGTATTAAATTTTCTAAAATGTCAATTTTCAAAACAGCGTTGAAATTACTGAAAAAACTTTTAAAATAAATTTCAGCTGAGCAAAAAATTCGTAGATTTTTGGTCTGAACGACTTGAATTTTCCATCTTTAATGAAAATATGTCCATACGATCGAAAAAAGTCACCTAGTAAACCATGAAATTTAGTTTTAAAATAGTCATGTTGGCAATGCAGTGATTTGATACTTTATTTGATGGTTATATGACCGTAAATGTCAAACCGAATAAAGAAGGCGTTAGTGTTAGCAAAAAAATTTTTTTATTTAAATTTCAATGGCTGCTAGATGACTTTTTCGATCGAATCGTCAATTTTTAGTCCGGACGACTTAGATTAACGCTGGATTTTGGTCGTATCTCGTCAGCACTAACAGCAAAATTAACACAAACTTCTAAAATTGAAAACTGGTGTTACGAAATCCTGCAGAGACAGAGCAAGTATGTGAAAGAAACCAAAAAATAAAACTATTTTATCCGCTACCAATTTAAAACACAATTAAAATAAACTCATAAATTCTGACTCAAAGTAAATGGAATGCAAATAAAACAGTAAGCGATTTTTACCTGACAACCATACCCATCAGGCGTGGGATGTTCAGTTCTGTTTGTAAAAGTCTCGTATTTATTTATTGCAAACTTTAAGCAAAGTAAAGTTCTAATTGGAAGTGCACCTCGAGCGTCGCGCCACTCGACGTCTAACATTTACAGAGAACTAGACTCTAATTGGTTAGTTCAAGGTCGCGACGAGATAATTGTCGATGTGGGTCGCATGGTCAGTGTGTCCTAAATAAAAGACAAACAGCTATAATAATAATTCAGATAATTTTATTTCGATTTTTGTCTTTCATGTGTCTTTTTTTCCAGGCAAGAACATGTTACTTAGAAGTTTAGAAGTCAAGTGTATATTACTTTTGGGGGTATTTTCAGTCAGTGATGCAGACCCTAGCAGATATAGTAGAAACAACAATCACCATTCGTCGGATTCGGAAAACTCGCTCCAACCCCTGACACCCGGAGGGTAAGTTTTCAATAATTTTCGAAAAACTAGTGCGTCGGGCGTTCCACCCAGTGACTAATTTAGTCTAAATTCGCAGAATGACGAAATTACCTTATCACTTAACAAAATAATCATCTGACACATATTGTGGAAGAATGCGTAAAGCCAACGTACTCTATTTATAAATAAAAAGTAGTAAGGTCGATTAAATTTGGAACACACAATTAGATAATTCTGGAAGTGATGAGCGGATGCTCTTATTTAATTCTTTGGCGAATCCCATCTCCTGCATGGCGACCGAAAGTCGGCCAAATTAGGGCCTCCAATAGAGTACGTGCACGCTTTTTTCTAATTTTTTTTTTCAAATTCCGACGCACACGATTGTCCTTGTGCTTATCATCACACTCTCAATACGAAAAAAATATATAGCAACCTTGACTGTGGGCGCCTACACTGTACGCTTTTTCTGTTCCGGTTACGCACATTACATATGTAGCGAGTATGGTAATTCCAGAAACATTGTCGAAGATGCCTTGAATTCCGATCCATAGTGCACTACTCATTTACGCGTTATTTATGCTTAAACAAGATGTTAGCTTGCATTCTTTCTTTAACGCCCGTTTTCGCGCGGATGAATATTCATGGGGCGGCGTGCCCACACACATGAAAATTGTTATTATAATCAAGGATGGGACGTGTCGCCAGAAATGTGGCACCGTTACGTGTGCAGCAAAAAAATCGCATTATTTAGGATCAGACACGTTGCTTGCACTTTTCCGGCACTTGTAAGCGTTGCTTTAGGTCAGTCAAACTTTTATGCTTTATATTATTTTTCTTAGTTCTTCTGGATTTAAACTATTCAACCAATCTAGAACTTTAAAAATTTCGTCGCTTGAGTTTGAAGTCGTAGCCCGGAGGGATTAATGAGCTAAAAATCGTTCGTATCTTAATCCATCAAGAACGTATTTAAAAATAAACATCAGTTAGTCGTTTCGTCAACTTGAACAGCTATAAAATCTGATTGCAGTGATTTCAGATTTATTTTTTTCTTGACAAACACTTGGAATCAAGCAACTCACTGAATTATTTTCAAAGTCCCCTTAAAATCAGCATTTTCTCTAAATGCTCTTGAAAAATAATTTTTGAAGTAGTTTGAAAAAATCTTTGGATCCGTTTTGTTTTATTTTTGAAGTAGTTTGAAGGAATCAGATATTAATATTCTCTGTGTAAAGATCCAAAATTTCTAGATTTAGTGAGTCGATATTTCGAAAATTCAGAAGATTCGAAGTTTTGAAAAGTCCTTAAATTTAGCGATTTTTGTATTTGTTGCGTTTAGGATGTACCTCATTAAATTTTATAATAATATTGAACTGCTGATAATGGGGTGGAGAATTCGAGCTTTAAAAATGTTCCGGGACCTTCTGAATTTTTTTTTATTTTTTTTTAACGAACGACAATTTCGGAAAAAAAACACTACCATATATATACTTATGTGGATTTCAAACGGGTGTAGAATTCAACCTGAAAATTAACCAGTAGGACTAAAAAACTTCAATAAATCGAGCAATGAAAACCAGAATTTGATATATCATCCCATTTCAGAATTACCGGACGTCAAATTTGAAATTGCTTTTTTGAGTACGAAAGTCTATAGTTTAGATGTTCAACCCCGGGGACACTTTATGAGCCCGAATTATTATTAAGGAGCTTCGAATTAATATATAGAACAATTTTTAGATAAACTGGAAAATTTCTGTTTTTACTTCATTTTTACGAAGGTGAAAATTTTCGAATTTAGATCATGTTACACCATCTCGCTTAAACGGACTCTGATTTCCCTAAATGCTGCTCTCTTCACTAATTCGAAGCTCATGATCAAGAGTCCGAGCTTTAAAAATGTTTTCGGGATTTTCTGAATTTTTTTGAATTTTTAACAATCTGATTTTCCGAAAAATATATTCGTATGTGGATTTCAACCGGGTGCAGAATTCGACCTACCATTGAAAAACTTCAATAAACCGAACAGTGAAAACCAGAATCCGATATCTCATCCCATTCCAGAGTTACCGATTTTGAAATTTCAAAATTTCGGAATTTCCGGGAAGATTGAAAAAATGGAATGTATGAAATTCCCTGATTGTTCAAGTTAAGATTCGATTACCAAAATTCCGAATTTCCATAGTTTAAAACCTAGAAGTTTCTAGGAAGTCACAAAATTTCAAAAAACAAGTTTAAAAAATTTGAAATTCAGTATTCATAGTTTTGAATTTTCCAATTTATTGAGTTGCCTCTACAAAATTTATTCTTTGTAACTTAAACTTTGAAAGTTCGAAATTTCAGTAACCAAAATTTTAATTACCCCTGTAAATATATGTTCACAAGATTTGAAATTCATAAATAGAATTCCCATGTTTAAGATTTCATTTCAATATATTCCTTAAATTTAGCGGTTTGCGTATTTCATGATTTTCAATTCACAGTTCGGTAGTTTTTGTATTTAGAGGTTTCATGATTTCGAAATTCCGAAATTTTCGGGATTTAAAAATTCTGAAAATTTTAATGTCCGAATTCCCAAATTGTTCAACTTAAGATTCACGTGCCAAAATTCCGAATTTCAAAGGTTTAAAACTTGGAATTTTAAAGAAAGTCACAAATTTCAAAAATTCAGTACCTACCTATTCAAAATTTTTAAATTTCCAGTTTATTGAGTTCAAAGTTTTTTCTAAAAAAATTATTCTTTGCAAATTAAACTGTGAAAATTAAAACTTTCAGTAAGCAGAATTGTAATTACAAATTTTGAATTTTAGTGACTCCATATTTCGAAATTCAGAAGATTTGAAATTCTACGTTTGAGGTTTGATCGGAAACTTGATTTAAATAGATTTCTTAAATTTAGCGATTTTTGTATTTTATGATTTTGAAATTTCACAATTCGGTAGTTTTTGGATTATGGGGTTTCATAATTTCGAAATTTCGGGATTTTCGATATTTAAAAATTCTGAAAATTTGAATGTATGAAATTCCCAGATCGATAGATTTAAGTTTTACGTGCCAAAATTCCGAATTTCCAAAGTTTAAAACTTGCAAATTTCAAGAAAGTCACAAAATTTCAAAAATTCAGTATTCAACATTTTAAATTTTCCAGTTTATTGAGTTCAAAGTTTTCTCTAAAAAAATTATTCTTTGCAACTTAAACTTTGAATATTCAAAATTTCAGTAAACAAAATTGAAATTACCCGTGTAAGTATTCGAAATTTTGAGTTTTGATGACTCGATATTTCAAAATTCACAAGATTTGAAACTCAGAAATAAAATTTCCATTTGCATTTGAACAGCTTTCTTAATTTTAACGATTTTCGTATTTTCTGATTTCGGAATTTCAAAATTCGGTAGTTTTCGGAGTTCGAGGTTTCATAATTTCGAAATTCCGGAATTTCCGGGATTTCAAAAATCTAAAACTGTCAATGTACGGAACTACCAGATTGCTTTATTTAAGTTAATTTAAGTTTCAGGGTTTAAAACTTGGAAGCTTCAGGAAAGAGACAAAATTTCAAATAATAATAAATTAAAAAAATTCGGAATTCAGTATTCATAATTTAAAATTTTTCAAATTATTGAGTTCAAATTTTTCTCTACAAAACGTTTTTTTTTTATAATTTTTTTTTTTTTTTGAATATTCAAAACTTGAGTAACCAAAATTCTAACTACCCGTGTAAATACTGAAAATTTTGAGTTTTAGAGACCGGATATTTCGAAATTCAGAAGATTTAAAATTTAGAAACAGAACTCTCAAGTTTAAGATTTCATCAGAATCTGCATTTGAATGGGATTCTTATATTCAGGGATTTTCGTATTTCATGCTTTCGAAATTTCAAAATTCCGGTATTTTCGGATTTCTAACTTTCGTAATTCCGGAATTTCCGGGAAGATTTCCATAGTTTAAAACTTGTAAGTTTCTAGGAAGTCACAAAATTTCCAAAAAGAAATTGAAAAAATTCGAAATTCAGTATTCGTAATTTTAAATTTTCCAATTTGTTGAGTTCAAAGTTTTCTCTACAAAATTTATTCTTCGTAACTTAAACTTTGAAAGTTCAAAATTTTAGTAACTCGATATTTCGAAATTCACAAGATTTGAAATTCAGAAACAGAATTCCTACGTTTGAGGTTTCATCAGAAACTGCATTTGAATAGGTTTCTTAAATTTAGCGATTTTCGTGTTTTATGATTTTGAATTCACAATTCGGAAGTTTTCGGATTTAGCGGTCCCATGATTTCGAAATTCCGAAATTTCCGGGATTTAAAAATTCTGAAAATTCGAATGTTCGAAATTCCCAGATTGTTTAATTTAAGATTCACGTCCCAAAATTCCGAAATTCCAAGGTTTAAAAGAGAGTTAAAAAATCTCAAAAATTCAGTATTCATAATTTTTAATTTTCCAGTTCATTGAGTTTTAAAGTTTTCTCTAAAAAATGTATTATTTACAACTTTAACTTTAAATTCAACAAAATGAAATTATCCGTGTAAGTATTCAAAATTTTGAGTTTTGATGACTCGATATTTGGAAATTCACAAGGTTTGAAACTCAGAAACAGAATTCCCATTTGCATTTCAATAGATTTGTTAAATTTAGAGATTTTCAAATTTTATATTACGAAATTTCAAAATTCGGTAGTTTTCGGACTTCCAGGTTTCATAATTTCGAAGTTCCCGAATTTCGGGATTTAAAAATGCTGAAAATTTGAATGTACGAAATTCGCAGACTCTTTTATTAAAATTTAAAAGTTTTAAGAAAGTCACGAGGGTTTAAAAAAGTTTTCTCTACAAAAAGGATTTTTTGTAACTTTGAAAATTCAAAATTTCTGTAACCAACATTATTATTACACGTGCAAACACTCAAAATTTTCAGTTCTAGAGACTCGATATTTCGAAATTCAGAACATGGGAAATTCACAAACAGAATTCCCAAGTTTTAAGGTTTCACTAGAATCTGCATTTGAATGTAGTTCTTAAAATCCAGTGAT